TATCAATTTTTCTAAAAAAAGAAATCTATGGACACCTAGGAACTACTGAGGACTCCTTCAGAAGTTACTTCTATCTTGATTGTATTAAAGCTGAACCACAGATCTATAACCCTTTTCTTCCTGATATAAACTCTATCAAAGATTTTGGGGCTTCCCTGGTGGCACAGTGGTTGAGGATCTGCCTGCCAATGCAGGGGACACGGGTTCGAGCCCTGGTCTGGGAAGATCCCACAGGCCGCGGAGCAACTAGGCCCGTGAGCCACAACTGCTGAGCCTGCGCGCCTGGAGCTTGTGCTCCGCAACAAGAGAGGCCGCGACAGTGAGAGGCCCGCGCACCACGATGAAGAGTGGCCCCCGCTCGCCGCAACTAGAGAAAGCCCTCGCACAGAAACGAAGACCCAACACAGCAAAAATAAATAAATTAATTAATTAAAAAAAAAAGATTTTGTCCTAGCTTATGACCTTTGATCTTAGAACCAAATCATATTAGAGTTAAACACAAAAAGCCTTTGAGAATTCTGGTGTTCTTTGAGATAAGATTTTTGGCCTTGCAGAGTAAGGTAAAGAAGCTTTAACTCCATTTGCAAAAATATATATATCTTAACCAATCAAGAGTTTCAATACTTGCAACCATTAAAACAAAAAATTGAAATTGATGGAATGTCCAACATACCATGTATAGATGATGTATATATGTTGTCCTGTTGAATACCATCTCACAATTTAATGTTCTTATACAAGTTAATAAATAACTTGAATAAGCCTTTACACTGATATTTTAAAATAATAATACATGAAGCTTACCTGTGTTTGAAATACATTGCCTTATTTTTGCGTTAATAAAGAGGAATATCATGCATTTATTTGGAAATATCTTATAATTATATTTTAGTATAGTTTTCCTGCATAATTCTAAGAATTTTATCTTGTGCATTTAAATATATTATTCTGGGAGAGAATTCATAGGCTTCACTTTACTGCTAAAGTAACACAAAAACAGCTAAGAACCCTTGATTTAGGGAGAGTGCAGATAGAGAAAAAACTAAATCACGTGATTAGGATTTGAGAAACTCTTAACAATTAGAGGTCTAGCCGAAGTCAGCAAACAAGACAGAAAGCAGCTGTGAGTTAGGCGGAAAGTCAGATAGTTTTGTAGCTCAGAAATCAAGGAAAGAATGTGTCTGAGGAAGGAGAGTGGTCACTTGTTACGGTGCTGCCAAGAGGTTGATTAAGGTAGTAAGTCTCTCTTGACCTTGACATGAATAGGTTCACTGGAATGTAATTCCCATGAGTGAATGAGTGGCAGGTGAAGAAGTGGAGACAGTACCTAGAGACAACTCAGTGATGCCGCCTTCCTTGCTTTGAATGGGAGCAGAGAAATGGGGCGGTTCCTTGAGGGAGATTTGTGATCAAGGCATGGTTTTTATAAAAGAGGGACACTACTGCGCTAAGTGACTGTGCTGCTAGAGAGAAACTTCTGACGGAAGAGGGGGACAACCACAGGAGGGCAATCATTGAGAAAGAGAGAGAAGCACAGAGCACAGGCAGAGGAAAGGCTGGATGTGTGGGTGCAGATTCAGGAAGGCTGGTAGTTTTGGTGATGCTGGGTTCTTGTCTGATTGCAGCTGTCCCTTGATAAAGCATAAGGCAGTGTTGTTAGTACAGGGGAGGAGTGTGAAATAAGCGTTTCAGGGGGGTGGGAAAATGTATATATTCAATACTAGAAAAGCGCAGGAGAGTTCTTAAGCAGTGAAAAGTGTTCATTGAGATTTGTGATCATTTCTTCTTTTCAAAATTTTACTTTGAAAAATTTCAAACCTATCTGAAATAAGCATTTACATCCTCTTCTGTTAGATTCACATGATCTTTCTCTCTCTCTCCATATTAAATATGTATACATTTCTGTTGTTGAACCACTGGAGAGTTAGTTACAATGTGACACTTCACCCCTAAATGCTTCACCATGGAACAAGGTCATTCTACTTGAATACAAATGTAACATTCAGGAATTTTAAGTGCCACAGTTCATGTTTAAAGTTCTCCAATTACCCTAATAATGTTCTTAATAGTTGTTTTATTTCTTTATTTACACATTGCTTTAAATACTAATGTATCTTCATTCTCTTTTAACATAGAATGGTTCCTGACCTTTGTGTCTTTTTTTTTTTTTTTTTTTTAGTCTTTCATTCTTTCTTGACAGTAACATTTTTGAAAAGTTCATGCCAGTTGTTTTTGAGAATGTTGTTATTTTAGAGTGGAACTTACAGAAGGGTTGTGTGATTTTTCTCAACAGAGTTCAGGTGATCAGGTGCACGCAGCGAGGAAGCGCTCAGGGTAACTAGGTTTAAGCACGACTGTGTGAGGTTAGAAAAAAAGAAGAGAGAAGTTCAGGGTAATTGTATAGGAGTTCTAATGATAAACCATCAAATCTAAGCGGGTAGGGAGGGAAGAGAGAACATGAAGGGAGTGATGGATAATAATGATAAAGGGGTCATTAACTGACGAGGTCTCTACAAAGTCTCTGTAAAGTGAAAGAATTGTATCAGGAACATAGGAAATGCAGCTGATCAGTGAAAGCCTCAGTGCTTTTTCATGAAATAGTCTGCTGAAAGCCTGATGTTTATGGATGGGGTAAAATATGGGAGATAGACTCCATACACAAAACTGTTTTATGAGCACCGTTACAAGGAGAAAAGTACAGCACATATATAAGGACTTGTAAAGTCCTTTACCATAACTTTGACTTTATGTCACACCTCCGAAGAGGAGTGCCCATAATTCCCATACTTTATTATACTCCCAGCATCCCTAGCGGAAAGGAGATGTGTTATTGATAGGCAACTGCACGTAGAACATTTAAGTGACTAATGAAGTCTTTAAGCACAATAGTGGTAGAACTGAGAAGACCAGAGCACTCACTTACATACTGTACTAGCCACACTGAACACTCCCCAAATGACACGATGTGTATCACTACCTAAATCACCCAGTCACACAGGCTGTGGTTTAACGGACATCTCTATTTCAATTACTCTATTTAGTGCCTCTTACCCTGCCGAAGCCCAACTTTGATGTAACTAGCTGCCTAGGAAGGATAAATTCTCAAAGCTGTGCCCTCCACCAATAATTTTAGAATACGAAGGTATAAAGTAAATGAAAGGCATTTATTATCACTTAATTCTGGTGATCCCAGGCACAAAGCCAAAGCATTTATAGATGTGGTAAGTACCAGCTGCTGTACTTGAAACTATTTTATGAGCAACATTGCACCGTGAGTGCAGGTTCTGCCTGCCTTCATTTGTTGGCTTTCTTCACCACTGTCATCCTAAGCCAACGTTCATTGAATGTCCACAGGGTTTGGAACTATATAATGCTCCATTTATGCACATATGTATATTTTTTAACAAAGTTACATAGTAAGAAAAAGGAAAATATGAATATTATTACCTTTTAAAAGGGCGTTCTGAGAGAGGAGCATGACGGAAAATATACTGGAAATTATTTTATGTATTAATGTACACACTGTGCTTCTTTCTTGATAAAATAGCTGAGATAGAATCATTTCAGTTGTGATGTATGCTATTTAAATCAACTTGCTGCCTGAATTACTAACTTGGCTTCAGAAAATGATCCCAGTAAAATAGCATCTACATTATTATTATTCTTATCCCAGTAAAATAACATCTCAGTGTAGCTTCATCTTAACTTATACTAGAAGCACATTCTGAGGTCCTCATATTAAGCTTTAATTCAATTACACTTTCATCTTGAAAAAGCTGACTGGCCTGCTTTTGGGCCTGTTGAAATGAGAGCCCATTTCAGTGAGCCCCCGAGAGGATCAACATACAGGCTTCAAATGCCCCCTGGTGGCTGATAAGCAGAATAACCAAATAAATTCGAAGTCTGGAATAAACAGGTTTTCCCTATTGCCGTTTATTTATTAATTCATTTAAAAGAACATGTCAAGAATTTACTCTGTTTCACACCGAAGATCAAAAGATAAGTGGGATACAGTTTGTGTCATAGTAAAACGAGGGTAAAAAGATAATTTCAACTCACCCTGCTAAGTGCCATTATAGTGATTTTTTTCCTATTCTGATCAAGTTATGCTGGTCTTTATTTTTGTAGGTATTCTCATGGCAATTAATATTATATATAAATTCCTGAAAAATAAAAGCAGCTATTTTCCACACAAGTGTAATTCATGTATCTAAATAAATCTAGAAGACACATAGTAAATAATTACATATTTTTAGTTTTTCCTAGGAGTAATGTGAATCCATATTGCTTTTTCTGATTACCCAGATTGCTTTTTATAATTATCCTAATAATATTTACAGTTTTAAAAATTATTTTCATTCTTTCCAGGTCAGCATTATCAGATCTGTTGAGCAGATGAGGAAACTGAGGCAGAAGAGTCAGCCTTACCTGATAATTCAGTATAATAGATGAGACCACAGTTCAAATTGTCTGATTGCACCTCTTAGTTTTCTTGGAAGATTCATCCAATGACTTTTGTGTGGTTTCTAATGGTAAATATGAGGGGTTTTTATGGAGTCACTGAGTAACATGAGATAGCCATTTACAAGAAGGGTTAACACACACACACACACACACACACACACATTGGATCATTTCCAACATCAGCTACTGAGCAGCTGTCACAATTCTCTTGAGTTGGATGGAGTCTTTTTTCAAGTTATGAAATGTCCCATATCCAATTACCAATCCCCAGAAAACCCAGGCCCTGGCTTTGCACTGTGCAAGCAAATGATACACTTGTGATGCCAGAGCAAAGCGATTACATAAATAATTTACTTAGGTCTTCTTTAATCCTATACAAGAGAAGCTTATGGTAATCTTAATTAGTATTTTACTCACCCAGCACAGTCATGTAACAGTAATCTTCTATTGAATTTCCAACATTGAGCACGAAAGGGTGCAAGATTTTTAAAGAATGTGTTCCTAGTTTACATAAATCAGTGATGTGAGTCAAAATATACACAAAGTCGGTTTATTTAAAAGGTATCAGTGTTCTAGATGCAAACTATAATTTCCAAGATGTCAAAAAAAACCCTAGAGGTGGTGGGGGAGTTCTCAGCATTATTATTTTAAATCTAGGCTCTTTAGTATTTTGAATTGCTATTACATATTTTCGATTCAGCTATTTTTGTTCCATTTCAAAATATTTTCATAATAACTTGTTTTCCATTTTCTCATATTTGCTTTTGAGCTATTATTTCTATGAGCAATTTTTGATTCGCTTTCATATACAGTACTATGAAATAAAAACTCATTTTTAACATTTATGTACCATTTAAGATTGTTTCCTTTTTGATAATCGGTAGCAGAATGGTGAATATAACTATCATTACTTTGGATCATTGCTTTACAAGAGATGAGGCAAAACAAAAAATTCTTTGGGGTAGTTTTATGATTTTTTTTGTGTATCTTGGACTCAAAATTTACATAATTAAGTCTAGTTGGTTCAATGACTACACTTAAACTATAAATTCATCAGAAATATAAAGTTGTATCTCTAGAACATGAACCAAAAATTAACATAAAGGCTTTCCTCAGCTACACTCAATTGTTACCTTCTTTGGTGCTCCTATAACGTTCATTCACTAGTGCATTCATATATTCCTTTGTCCATTCATCCACCAATGAGTATCATACAAAGTAAAAATTAGTCATGTTTCCTTCCCTCCAGGAGATGCATGTTGAAGTTGGAAAACCAGTGTTGAAATTAGGCACAGGTGCTTCTTACAGAAAAACAGTGGTGGGGAATCTAAACCAGAGCAAGAAACGTCAGAATATTTCGGCAATGACTCAAGCTGAATTTTGAAGGGCAAGTAGGAATGCTGTAAGTAGAAAGGCTTTCCATTTTCGTGGATTTTCCAATGTATTACAGATGTAACAACTTGGTACTTTTGGGGACTCTTTACCCAGAGAAATAAGTAAATGGCAGATCAAGAAGGGCCTAGGTGGTACGGCAGAGCTTGAATTTTACCTTGCAAACTAAGAAGTTATTGAGAAATTTCAAGTAGGGGAATAAAATGACCAGGTTTGAATTTTAGTAAGGTCACTTAGGCAATAATGTGGAAGATATATTGGAGGAAACATGGAGCAACTGGAGTGCGGAAATATTAAGAGCCGACTGAAGTAATCTGGGCTTGAACTAAGAGGGCCTAAGTTAAGCAGGCAGGGGGACAATTTAGTCTTGCTACACTCAAAATGGTCTTGATCAGCAGCACGAGCATGTTTGAGAAGCTTGCCTGAAATACAGAATCTTGTGCCGTATCCCTTACCTTCAGAATCAGTATTTTAACAAGCTCCTCAGGTAATCTGTATGTCTGGGAAGCACCACACAGTAGGGGCAGTTACTGGAGGAAAAAGAAAATCACTCTCAGGTGGGGTCAGTTTGAGGTGTTTATGGAACATTCAAGGAAGCTGATCCATAGCAGTTGAGTATATGGATCTGGAGGCTGGGCTGGAGATGCAATTTAACATTTATCAACCTGTTAGTATTTGAAGCCATGGTCCGACCCAACTTTCCTGGTATCTGCCCAGGAAATTATATCATTAGGCAGAGGGCCCAGAGGGAGCACTAAGAAACACCATTATTTAAAGTTCCATACAGCAAAAGGTATCCACAAGAAACAGAAGGAGCTTCCAGTGGTAGGTATAAACAACGTGAGCAGTGGGAAGAGTTCCAAGTGGCCGGATGGTCAACATTCTTGTTTTCCAGCAGAGGTCACATAAGAATAGACAAAAGTCCATGGATTTGCCAATCTTGATGTCAGAGTAAAGCTATGGGTGGAGATTATTTCCCATTAAGTTCTTTCTTGACCTTAGTAAGTGGGGATGCAATTTAGTTTCTGCTTTCAAAGTTCAGATGAGTAGAGTATGTGAGAGGAGCTTGGTATGGAGCCAGTTTGCAAATGTTCTCTCTTCCAGTAAGATGGTAAATTCTTTGAGGAATAAGGAAGGCACATAAAGATGAGTAAGACCCGGTCCTAACCCTCAGCGTTTATAACAAATAAGATATCTGTAGTACAAGGTGGGACATATATTATAAAATATTATAGGAATTCAAAAGAGGCATACACTACATCCAAACAATCAGAAGAGGCTGCTTACCTCTCCTCAACTGTTATTACAGAGATTTGCTTACTTAACATTTACATACTTAACACTTAAACTATATTCACTGCCTGACTTTTTCTCTTAACAAATCTGATGAATTATTAATAAAGTTCCATTTATTCCAAAATCCAAGGAAACTTCAAACTCATTCATGAGATATTTATTAAAATAACACATTTAGGGAAAAAAATCAATACAATTGTATACATCATTACTGAAAACTGTATACCATCATACAAAAAAGGATTTTATTTTGGGAAATCAATTCCTAATTTATGGCAAGTTTTACTTTCAGAAATAAAACCACAAAACAACACAATCTAATTCAATCTTAAAGGCTGGCATGCTGAGCAAGGAATGTTCTTATTCTTTGTAGGAGCTCCTTCTTTACACTGTCAGGTACCAGGGCTGAAATATAAAAATAAAAACATAAGAGTAAAGAAGATCCCAATTAATATATGTCAATTTGAGATTTGGTATTTTATTCAGGACTACCAACAAAATAATTTCAAAAGTAACCCTTATGCTTCAATAAAAAAATAAAGACATTTGAGAAAATAAAGTATATTTGCAATTCATTATTTGAATGAATTATCCAATACCTAAAAATATATTGCACATGTGAAAATTCTTTAAACTAGGAACAGAAAAGGCCTTTTTTAAACAGAGGCTGTAAAAGATTGATGAATGTGATTCAAATGCAACAACTTAGTAAGCTTGGTCAAAATTACCATAAACAAAAACAAAAACTGAGAAAACACTGCTAATCTCTCTACTACACAATTTCTTCAATTTGATATGAAAAAGATCAGCAGGCTTACAGAAAAATGAGCAAAGGAGATGAAGAAAAGGAAAGGCATATAGTTCTTGAATGTAAAAGGAGTTTAACCTCACAACAGAAATGAAAATTAAAACCACATTCACATAGCATGTTTTACCAATGAGACTGGCTAAAATCCAAAGGTCAGTAATGTATGTATTGGCAAGACTGAGGGAAAACTGGCCCTCTCATATTAGCTGGTGGGAGAATAAACTGACAAAACATTTTGGGGAAGGTAATTTGGCAATACTGTATTGAAATAAATGCATATGCTTGAATGAGCAAAGATGCAAAAGCTTCAACAGTAGCTGTATTTGTTATAGGCTTATTTTTAAAATTTTGAACCATGTAACTGTATTATCTACTCAGAATATTAAACTAAAAATGGGAAAATGGGAGTTCTCTGGTGGCCTAGTGGCTAGGATCCCAGGCTTTCACTGTTGTGTGGCCCAAGTTCAATCCCTGGTTGGGAAACAGAGATCCTGCAAGCCGTGTGGCATGGAAAAAATAAAAATAATAAAGGAAAAAAAGCCCTGCTCTTTGAAATTTAAATTAATATTAAATGTCAATAAATAAATCTACACTATTTTCCCCCTTTTTGGCTACTAAAAATAAGGACAATAGGGAATTAACTATACAGATACTCCTCTTTATAAATTTACTGTAAGCCTGCCTAGAAATAAAGACTACATAATTAATTCAAGTCCACTGCAAATGTGATCACTCTATATGTTAAATATACTTTTAATCAAAATTATGGTGATGGAGAACAGATCAGCTGCCTTGGGGTTAGAGATGTGGTGTGACTATGAAGGAACAGCTTGAGGGAGTTTTTTAGAGTGAATCTATACATGTGTATAAAGTTCATAGAACTGACACTAAAAAAGGGTCAATTTTACTGTATGTTAATTTAAAACATAAAAACAAATACCTCTCTTGACAATAAAAAGAACACTATGAAAATAAAAGAAAAGATTTATTTTTACTTCTCTTTTCTTTTTTGCTCATTCTCTAGCAAGGGAGCTACAACGGATTGAAATGTCCAACACACAAGTATTGAAGGAGAAGCAAAGGATGATTTCTACCCTGTTAACAGATTAAGTTCTTAAATGTTAACAGATTAAGCATAAATTACAGAAGAAAAGTAGAAAAAGAAATTATAGAAATTTATTTTAAAACATAAATCCATGGGGAGAACAATAAATACTGCTTTTTCCCCCACATGGTAGCAGTTCAGGGGACTAGTATTCCCTAGTAATAATTTTAAAATCATTTACTTTTCACACCTATTCTTTTTACTATTTCTGTGTGAGGAAATAACTAACGGGTCATCTAATTTACCTGCTTCCACTTATAATACAACTCTCCCTCCCCCCACTGACTTCCTCAAATGAAATGATGAAAATAATCTCATTACACTTAATTATATGATGTAATTCCTGACTTAATACTTATTACATATAAATATTTTGTTAATATACTACTTCCTCTCTTTCCTTTGGCTTCTCTAAACAAGGTATTAAAGGGAGAAATTAAGAAGGCAGTTGAAGTATGAGTCTTAAATATGAATTACCCTGACCATGAAGTTATGGAGCTACCAAATTCGTAATTAGACATTCAAGAAGACATTTTTGTTTATTTTTAATAAGGAAAGAGAGCAATGACTCAGGGGCTGGTGTAAAACTCTGAATTATTAAATATCAGGCTAAAGTTTACAAATCCTAGCTTCAGGTAATATTTGCCTCTACAAAATCCTGTATTATAAAAATGATCTAACAACCACATCAACTTACATTTGTGTACTGTTTTAACAGTGCAAAAACGTTTTACACCTCTTACTTGTTTGTTGCTCAAGACCATGCACAAAAGTTGGTGAGGCAACTATAACTCTTCCCAAAGAGGAGATGCAAGTACCCACATAATTTTGGAAAGGGTGCTTTTCCTTGTAAAAAGAAAGAAAAGCTGCACCAGCAAAAGAGAGAAAAAAAAATCATGTCTTAGCCCACAATTCCTTTCACACAATTTGTATTCATTCCTTACCTCTGCCTTTTGGTGTGATTTCAGCCACCAAGTCATCAACAGTAACGTGTTCTAGTCCTTTTTCTTTAATTACCTCTTATGCAAAAGCAAAAAACAAATCATATCATTTAAAATCATTATCTGTAAGAAAGATTTTCATAGAGGAAGGGTTAAGATCATGTTTTTAGAGTACAGACTGGTCTTTAAAAAAAAAAAAGAGGACACTTCTTTTTTTCTTTTCTAATGAAGGTTTATTTCAACCTTAAACACAGTATGTATTCACCAGATCCAAAACATAAAATAATTATAACACTTAGAATGAATCTGAACTGTAAATTCAAATCTAATATTTGTAAAAAACTGGAAACTTACAACTGCACAGATCTTATTTCACGATAATAATATCAGCTCTTGAATGTATGGAGGGAAAAAAATGTAATTTAAGTCTAACTTGTAATTTCACAGCCCCAAATTAAAATATAGAACAACTCCTTTGCTCCTTTCTCTTCTCTAGGCTGGGCCAAAAGAAGGAGAAAGGAGTTTACACTTATTGGACCCCTATTATGTGCTGGGTGCTTTGCATCATTTAATATTCACGATAAGCTGACAGGCTGGGCATTTTTCCCACTTCAGAGGTGCGGCAAGTGAGGCTTAAAGATTAAATAACTCATTCAAACACGACTTGAAATCCAGCTCTAGTCTTACCAGTGAAGGTCTGTATGACCTCAAAGTCTATGCTTTTATTAATTTGGCACATTGCCTTCTTCCGGTTAATGATATAAATAGTTTCTATTATCATTTGTAGAAACCAATACGAGAATTCATTGTAAATATCCAGAATTCCAGCATACCAAAAGCTGAGCCAGAAAGGAAGGAGGCTCATCTTAGTGACACTTGTAATTGTATCTAATGGCATAATCATCAATACCTAATTGCAATTTAACAAGCTCCCATTTTATAATTTTAAAAATACATGTAATTTTCTAAGAGCTTTTATAGATGATTTTTTCAAAAATAACACTGTTAAAGATAGGAGATATAATTCCTGTAAGTCTGCCAACCGTAAAGTGCTCAATGTGTTAAGAAAAACAGACTAGGAATAATTAATGTTTCACTTTGAGTAGGCACAGCAAAAAAGGTGGGATTCCATATTCCATGCCAGAGGAAATCTTGCCTCACTTGTTTTAAGAGAAACACAAAGAAAATTTCTACAAATTAAGGAATAGGTCTACATATTATCACTGAGAGGAGGTAATCTATTACCACAAGCTTCAATTTTCTATTTGTTTAAAATTATGCTTGAGCACTCAATATATCTTAAAATACTGACTATAATTTTTCTAATGAATTCCAAACCAACACAGTTGAGAGCTATGGAATTAGCTTATCTTCTAAATGAAACAGATTACCTTTACAGTGTGCCTTCAACTGATCCTTCCAGCCACATTCAATTAATTTAGCTCTCAGCAACTCTTTGAGGCTGTTGAAAAAGAAGTGTTTCCAAATTAAACTACAATAGTGTTCAAGTGTACAATATCTTAGATAGGAATGCTTGAAGCAAAGCTTCAACTGTTCAATTAAAAATCCCACCTTCCAGTTATAAAACTTTAACCATGGCCTAATCTTGGTTCTACCACTAAAAAGTTCTTTGGTCTTATGCAAGTCATTTAAAGGCTGGGCCTCATTTCTGTCATCAGTAAAATTCAATGAAGTGGATGGGGTACAATTCTTCTTAAGAAACCCTACTCTCTGGCCTTCTTACACACTTTCTACTTCCCTCCACCAACAGGAATATTGTGGGTTTTGTACAACTTCAGAAGGGTATTAGTTGAGTTTGAAGCAGCTGTACTTTTGAAATCTTCAAACTCCAAAATCCATTCTTTAACTACAAATTCTTACCCATTAGCTCTCTTATTGCCCCGTTATATATCTAATCTCAGGCTTGCCCCTCCCTTTTTCTCATTGTCCTTCTAAATTACACATTAACTATGGTATTTCATTAATTCTAAGACTGTGTTTTCCCACATTTTAACAAGTCAGTAATTGGCATGCCTATCATAATTTAATTGGCAGTATTTTCTTTATTCTTAAAGGTTAAAAAAATATTGGTGGGTATTACAACTAATGGCATCATGGGTGCAATAAAATATTTTATCCTTCTGCAATACCTAGTCTTATAAAACCTCAATCTTCAACCTAAATCACCTCATTTCTCAGCTTAAACATGTCAAGTCCCAAACCAAACTGCTTCTTTTTCAGTATTCCTAACATCCACTATGTGACATTTCCATCTAGATGTTTAAGTCATTTAATCGTAACAGGGACAAAACCCAACTCTTGCTTCTCTTCCATCTCAAGCTGTTCTCCTTGTCAGACTGGCAACTCCATTCTTCTGGATCCTCAGACTAGAAACCTTGGCAGCAACCTTCACTCAGCAATTTTTATTTATTTATGATTATTATTTTTTGCCGTACGCGGGCCTCTCACTGTTGTGGCCTCTCCTGTTGCGGAGCACAGGCTCCGGACACGCAGGCTCAGCGGCCATGGCTCACGGGCCCAGCCGCTCCGCAGCATGTGGGGTCCTCCCGGACCGGGGCACAAACCTGCATCCCCTGCATCGGCAGGCGGACTCTCAACCACTGCGCCACCAGGGAAGCCCCACTCAGCAATTTTGATAACACTAACGTCCAACCCATAAGCACATCCTATTGGTTCCAGTTTTAAAATATATACCTGAAATCCAAATGTTTCTCACCACCTCTGCCATTACTACCTAGTTGAAGCCACCATCTTCTCTTGACTGGACTGTTGCCAAAGCCTCCTAACTCGTCCCCCTGCTACTTTCCTTGTACACGTCCTTCTCCTCTCACTGCTCAAAACCCTCCAGTGGCTTCCCAATTTACTCAGAATACAATTTCAAGTCCTTACTACAACCTAAATGACCCTGCAAGGTCTGTCCCCTCCGAAGCAATGCCTCTGACTTTACTGTTTCTCTCCTTCACCCAGCTGACTCAGTCTTATTAGTTTCCATGGGTTCCTCAAAATGCCAGGCAAGGGAACTCCCTGGCTGTCCAGTGGTTAGGACTTGGCGCTTTCACTGCTGGAGCCTCGGTTCCATCCCTGGTCCGGGAACTAAGGTCCCACAAGGCACACAAGGAAAAAAAAAATGCCAGGAAAGCTCCTGTGTCAGGACCATGGCTCTTAGGAGTCCGCTCACTCCCTCATATCCTTTTGATCTCAGTGAAGCCTACTTTTTTTTCTTATCCAAAATAACACACCTGATTATTCTCTGCTTTATTTTCCCTCTAGAACATCACCATCTGACATATTACACATTATTTTCTGTCTCCTCCCATTAGAATGTAAGCTGTGTAAAAGAACAGGCTTCATTTTGTTCACTACTATATCTCCAGCACCTAACAGGACATGGCATATGGTAGAAACTCAGTAACTTTAAGCTGCATGAATGAAAACAGATAAAAAAACAGTAATACATAATACCCTACACCCATTATTGGCAATACTATCCTCTCAGTTTCCCAAGGCACTGTTCTAGAGGCTTTCTTCTTCCTCATTCCTCATGTCAAGGGTTGTTGATTTTACTTAAAAAAAAAACCTGTAAGTTCTCCTTTCCATTTTTGCTGTTTTCCACTTTTAACCTATTATCTTCTGCAATTTATCTCTAGCCCTTCAAGTCTATCCTCCATACTGCCAAAATAACATTCCTAAAGTGCAAATATGATCTAGTCAGTCCCTTTCTTAGAATTTTTTAATGACTCCCACCACCCAAGGATAAAGTCAACAACAGATGTTTTTGCAAACTACCACCTATTTTCCTGCCATTTCTTTGACAGTAAAAACACTTCACAACTCTCGGTGTAAGAAATCTGGGTAGGGCTCTAGCAATGGAAATGTGACCTAGGCAACGCTGATTATGAATGGCCTATTACCTTAAGTAGGATGGTAATCTAGCTAGGTCCTTTGCTGAAACTACTAGGAGAACGGTAGTCTCAGGTGCAGAGATGTAAATTTTGAACCGCTAATTTCTGCCACCTTGTGGGTAGTACCTTCTTGAGAATAAAGCCAACAGAGAGGAAAGCAGAGATGAGAGACGGAAAGACAGACATGTTCTTGGCAACAAGTTTTGAGTGCCTGAAGCACCTTCAAGCCCTAGACTTTTAGTCACACGATCTTATATAGAAATTGGCTGAGCCAGTTACTGAGTTCAGTTTCTTATCATTGTGAATGGAAAGATTTCTGATTATACAAAAGCCACATTTCTCCTGTCCACTGTCTTTCACATTTTAACTGCACAGTTTCCCAGAATATTATCATATTGTAACAAATCTCTTTGACTTTGCATATTGGGTTCCATTTGCCTAGACTGTCCTTTCTCCTTTACCGGGTTGGGGAACTGCGAATCCTTCTTACCCAGCTGAAGTACCACTTCTACTATTTTGTGAGAGCTTTACTGATTACCTTAATCCCCAGGTAGAACTGAGAGATCCCTCTTGTTCCTTATATATATTTCTCTCATACAATTTATCACCCTGCTCCTGGAAGCCTTTTTTGATTCCTTAGACTCTCCTCTGTACTTCCAAACCTGTTCATTCTTCAAATATTTACCTGGCCAATTATGTGCTAGGCACGATGCTCGGTATACAGTAGTATTTCTGCTGTCGAGGAACTCAGATTCTATTGATACAAACTAGCAAAGGAGGTGATTATAATACAAAGTGATTAAATACTATGATGGAACAAGGTATTTGGGAGTTAACAGATTTCTAGAAGAGATGATACTTAAATTAAGACCTGATAATGAGCTAGAATTAGTTAAAGATGGGGGGAAGGAAGAAGAATGTTTCAGAGAGTAGGAATAGCACACACTGCTCTGAGGTTAAGAGAGCTTGGTAACTGAAACTGGTTCCATCATGTTGTCTCCCTGTTAAAAAGTGGGTAACATTTTATCTTCAATTGTAGTTATCTGGGTATGTATTTTTCTTCTCCATTAGATTAGACATTTTTTTGAGAGAGAGTCACTTCCTGTTCATCTTTGTACATGATCCACTTCCCCCCAAGTCTTGCAATATTGAACAGACCTAAGCATTTTTAACAGATGTTAGGAATTGCTTTTGATAATCTCAATTTTCTGTAATTATTTCCACTGACATCAGTTTTGTTACTTTTTAGATTCTTATAACTGTAATTTAAAGATGTTAAACGTAATTAATTAACACAATCGATTACTTACCGTTCTCTTTCTCCAGTTTCTATCAACTTTTGGTTAATTGCTGCTCTCATCTGCGCATCTTTGTTCATCTTGCTAACCTGAACATCAACATGTATTTTCAGATATAGAACACTTACAAAGCATTTTCTTCTAAATCCTCTCAAGCACCTCAACACATTTAACATTCTGTCTATCGACTGAAGGGGTGATAAATTTCAACAATGTGTTAACAAGGTCCTTACTCCTAATATTATTTACTGCATCCCAAGAAGTCATGATCATGACTTTACAATTTTCTTCCCCCATGTACCCTTTATTAATGAGTCTCTGGATAATGACAATTACTGTAACATTTATTAAACACTTATGTACCTGGAACTGAGCTAACGCACTGAGTTTTTAATCTCATTTAATTCCCAGATCTTATTCTTTTATGCAAGTACTATTAACATAGTTTGTATTTTACAGATGAGGAAACTGAGGCACCGAGATAGAAAAGTGGTGAAGGCAGGACTTGAACTCAGGTACTGTGACCCCAGAAGCCGCAAAATACTTTAACCGCACATAATAACTGACTGCTAATCATTTCTGCATCTTAATTAACTGTATTCAAAATTTGGGGTAAGCTATATAACCTAAGTATCAATAGAAGAGTAAGCACAGTTTGTGAAAAATGAAATTCCTGGGTAAGGATCTGAAGTGCTTTACTTTACTTTCCACTAGTATGTACCCAGAATTACAACTGCCAAACTAGCTGTAAGTATGTGTGTGTGTATATGCTCTTTATCAAAGCTTGCTGGTTGGGTTAAGGAGAAAACAAGTATCAAATTAATTCCTAACTTAGAAAATTCTCAGTTTTCAGTAAAAACGGACAACCAAAACGGTGTAAAAAGGACTGGGAGGATAAACTGTAAAACTTGGAATAAGCTAACGTTACTCCACTTATCTGTCACCAACTTGAGACTACTTTTGTTGTCCCCAACCTCGCCGCCTCTATGAAGACTCAAGACTGGCAGTGAGTTTTCGGAGTTTTTTTTTTTTTTTTTTTTTTTTAATGGAACAGGAAAAAGGAGAGATTGAGGAGTGACTAGGATATGTTTGCTTTTGCAGTTGGAGGCTAACATTTTCAAAATAATACTAAGGTCTAGTCCGTACCATTAGCAGAATACTGAACTTGATCTTGCCTTGGCCCCCAAAATACGGAGAGTGACCTTGGACAAGTCAGTTCTTAAAGGCCTCAGTTTTCTCACTGGTAAAACAAGGGCGCTAGGGGATCCCTCCCAGTTCAGACAGTCTTTGGGAAAACAGAATAGGGCGGAGACAGCGGGAGAGGCGGGAGGGGAGGAGCCAGAAACAAAGCGAGGACTGGCTTCAGGCCAACTCCGGTAGCACGCCCTGTCGGAGAGCCCTACAGGCCCGCGAGCGCGGGTCGGGGAAGCTAACGAAAGACAGCACATCGAAAGGAGCCTGGGCTGGGCCCGGGTCCCGGCCCTGAGGACCACGGGCATAGCTCACCACCATCACCGCGGGCGAGGGCCGTCCCTTCCCAGCGACGAAATGACCCTTGCGCTGACGACCGTTACCTACCACACTCTTCGGCTGCCCGGACCTAGACCCTCAGTAGCTCGGGCACCTAAGCACACAGAAAGCTAGCACACGCATTTCCGGGGCGGGGTCTCGCCACCCTGCCTATAATGTGAGAATTTAACCAGCGCGGGCCGCCTCCTGGTCGCTCAGCCCTCTGGGTAAGAGAGTCCAGATCCTACTGTCGCACGGGCATTAAGTTCCCTAAAAACTACATATCCCAATATGCAACAGAGCCAACTTCCCCGTGGGCACTACGTTACCCAGAAGGGATGTTACGCCGCAGTGTTTTCTGGGATGGGAAGCACGCCGCCTCCCAGCCACGGTAATATGCGTGAAGCGCGGACCTTTCAACCCGAACTTTATTAATTCTCCGGCTAGGCCCCTGGAAGGCGATGGAGGTGGCCGCTAATTGCTCCCTGCGGGTGAAGAGACCTCTGTTGGATCCCCGCTTCGAGGGTTATAAGCTTTCCCTCGAGCCACTGCCCTGTTACCAGCTGGAGCTTGACGCAGGTGGGTAGCGGCGGTGCCCCCTAGTACTCTGTTCCTTTCTCCTTTTGGCTTCCGAAACTCGACGCTTCCCGCATTTTCTTCTTTTCTGACTCCGTGTAGCCAGGCGACCGTGGCCTTCCTCACGGCCTGCCGGGCAGGGGTGGACCAGAGTGGCTGGTTCTGGAGAATGATGCCCATCCCCGGCCCCCGAGGGAGCCGCCTTCGAGTGGCTCTGCCGTATCGGGACCCTGGGCCGGCTCTAGGCTCCGCTGCCCGTGCTCCGAGGTCCTGCATGCGGGTGCTTTCTGGGCTCCGCCCGCCTGTCGGTCCTGGCCTGGCCTCTGCTGCGGAGAGAGCTCAGGGCAGGCTTTCCTCCTGGAGCATTCCCTGTAAACGTGTGCGTTGAGAAGTCACACCTCTTTGGAGGACCTTCTGCTTCTGTTTCCTCTGGCCGAGACCCAGTTCTTAGAAGAGAAACTCCATTGCAGTTAGGAGCGTTTTCAATTAGCTACGCGCCATCAGATTAAGGACTCTATCGTAGATTACATCTCGAGAAATACTTGAGGAAAAGTTGGTTTAGTACCCAGACTTCTACTACTTGTTTTGTTTATCTGTAGGTGGCGGGAATATTCATCCTTGTTTTTACAAGGTATGTCATTTTTGTTAATGATAAAGAGCTCAAAGATTGCATTTTTAATACACAGCCCTGCTGATTCTGATGCATGATGTCAGTGGATCACACTTTGAGAAGCAATCTAGAGTTAATAAGTTTTATAGAATCAAATACATGTTTATTCATTTAATATATAAATTATATAAGTTCAGAAATCTCTGTTGAGAGCCTGTTTTATGTTACATGTTGATACAATCAAGATGAATATGACACAGCCAGTAACATAAAAATGCTGTTGTCTAGTTAGGAAGAAAAGTGTAAGCAAATAATTACAAGACAGTAAGGCAGTGATAGGGATATGTACAAAACATATTGATAATGTTTCAGTATCTTTCCCAAACCAGCCTGGGACATCTGGGAAAGCTTCCAAAAGAAGTTGATATCTAAGTTGAGCTTTAAAGAATAGGTAGTTGATCAGGGTAAGAGAAAATGAGCTTGATGTTTCTTTTCATTCCCTTCCTTTCTCTCTCCCACCCCATATAAATGAATGATACCACCATGTTAGTTAGCCTTGCATTAAAAAACCACCCCAAAACTCAGTGGCTCAAAACAGTAAGCAGTTATTATTGCTTACAAGCCTACAGGTCAGCTAGGTGGTTCTAGTCATGACTGTACTTTCTCATATGTTTGGGGTTTCTCTGGCTGTAGGCTGGTTTAAGATGATTTCAGATGGTCTTTATCCTTCAGCATGCTGGCACAGGGTTATTCCAAGAGTCTTGTCTTGAAGAGTTTTTCAAGCTCTGATTGCAGTAAGTGTGCTATTGTCCCGTTGGCCGAAGCAAGTCGTATAATCAAGCTTAGAGTCAATATGGGAAGCTCAAACCAAAGGGCATAATAGGTCCAGGGAAGCATAAAAAATTGGGACTACTAGTGCAGGTTGACATAATTGCTCATGCGAGAGTCACCTTTGGTGTATTTCTTCTCTTTTATCCCCTATTGTTTCTCAGCAAATCTAGTCAGCTCAAAATCTTGACTTCTCCATGCCTCTACCGTTGTGCAAATCCTTGTTATCTCTTACCTGAACTATAGTACCTTCCTGACTAGGCTTCCTGCCTTCGATTTTGGGCTCCTTCATTCCATTCTTTGGAAGGCAGTACTTATAGTTTTTATTGATAACTCTGCATTTGTTTGATATCTGTTTCCTCCAGTAGACTGTGAGCTCCATGGATACAGTGGTGTTTCTCTTGTGCTTGGCATAGTGGGTACTCAATACATTGAGTGAATGAAGAAGAGAGGTTGTTGAGGTCATTCCATTCATGGGAAGCATGAGCAAACCGAAAAAATTAGATTGTGTGCAGGGCACTACTGCTGTATTGCCTGAGCAAAAAATCTACTGGGAAAATGAGAGGACTTAGGTGAGGGCACGTTTTGTCTTTTGGACTTTATCCTGTGAGTCAGTGTTTCCCAGACTTTTCCATGGGCAATTACAATAAAAAATAAAGCTCAGCTGTCATTGATTTACCAACTTTTTAATTTGCTAAGTGCAGGTGTTTCTTAAGAACTGTCACGTACTCACCCACCCTTTCATAAACAAAAGGATATTTTGACACCAAAAAAGCAGGAAGCAAAATCTCACAATAAATAGTCCTCTTAATCGAATACATTAACTTTATGAAAAGCTGAGTTGTTCTTTTACGCCCCTCATTTCACCAGTGTTGGTCTTAGATTCTGTTTGGGATGCACAGGTGGAGGTGATGAGGTGCCATTTAGGGTTTTAAGTGTGGAAGGGAAGTGGCAGGTTTGGGGATTCAGTAGTTCACTCCTAGGCTCTGTGGAGATTGAGTTTGGAAGATGAGGGGAATGGAGATGGGGAGACCAGCTTGGAGGCTTTACAACAGTTCACATGAGGAGCTTTCATTAAGAATTAATTACTTGAGGAGGAGGATGAAGAAGAGGTTAATTCTTTTAAAAACTGCCATTTCTAGAGGTATTGTGAGGTGTGATTGAGCTACTTCTCCTGACAGTTTGATTTCTTTTATAACCAACCTAAAGGGTTCATGTTAATTCAGCAGACTGTTGGTGGGCACCTGTGGTGTGTGAAGCTTCCCAATTGGGATGTGAGAATGAAGATGTGGTGTCTGGTCTCAACTTGCTTGGAGCTTTGAGTTTTATTCTCTTGTCTTAAATGTTATTAAGTTGTTCTGAAACCCCCTATGCTACATAAACAGTAAATGTCACTTTGTCTTTTTCTTTTCCAAAGAACTAAGCAAAAAAACCTTTTGTATAAAATTGTAACTGCCCTTTGAGCCAGCAGTTCCACTTCTGGACATTTATCTTATATTTTTTCCCTAGACTCTTCATTAAGTAAATGTATATATTTTCCTCCTATATTTCACCTAGCTAACTCATACTCTGTTCTTTCATCTTGGTTTACATGTTACTCAGATTCCTTTCTTGACTATCTAGTAAAAATCTATACTATAGAATCTATACAAATTACAATCTGTACTTTTCCACAGTACCTGATTCTTCATAGACTTTATCACACTTTAGCATTTGGTGTTTCTCTGCTATATCCATTTCTCTGCTAAGACTGCTAGTTCTGTATTGAGGGTCCTGTGTCCGTCTTTTTCAGTGTTTCATCTCTGGAGCTGCAGCATGACTGATGAATAATAGAAGATTTTATATCAAAACCTAAACAGCTTTATTGAGCTATAACAATAATCTACACATATCTAAGTGTATAGGTTGATAAGTTTTGACATATGTTCATATACACTCATGAATTCATCACCACAATCAAGATATTAAACTTAGGGCTTCCCTGGTGGCGCAGTGGTTGAGAGTCCGCCTGCCGATGCAAGGGACACGGGTTCATGCCCCGGTCCGGGAAGGAAGATTCCACAGGCCGTGGAGCGGCTGGGCCTGTAAGCCATGGCTGCTGAGCCTGCGCGTCCGGAGCCTCTGCTCCGCAAAGGGAGAGGCCATAACAGTGAGAGGCCCACCTACTGCAAAAAAAAAAAAAAAAAAAAAAGATATTAAACTTAGCTACCATCCCCAAAAGTTCCCTTGTGTCTTTCTGTAACTGGCCCTCTGTTCCTCCCTCTCCCCTCTCAGTCCCTAAGCCACAACTGCTCTGTCACTGTAGATTCGTTTGTATTTTCTAAAGTATTATATACATAGAATTACACAGTATGTACTTTCTTGTCTGGCTTCTCTTACTCAGCATAATTACTTTGAATTTATTCTTGTTGCATGAGAGAGAGATTTTGAAATCTCTGGCTATAATTGTGGATTTTTCTCTTCTTCCTTGCAGTTCTGTCAGTTTTTGCTTCATATATTTTATGTTGCATAAACATTATTGATTATTATGTTCTCTTGATAAATTGACCACTTTATCATTATGAAAGAACCTTTATATCCTTGGCGATAGTCTGCCCTGAATTCTCCTGTTTGATAGTAAAATAGTCACTTCAGCTTTCTTCTAATTAATGTTACCATAGTGTATACATATATATCTTCCATTCTTTTACTTTTAACCTATTTGTGTCTTAGTATTTAACATGCATTTCTTTCTTTTTTTAAAATTTATTTTATTGAAGTATAGTTGATTACAATGTTGTGTTGATAACATTTCTTTTTGGCAAAAATAGGTCTTTTTTATTCAAACTGATAGTCTTTATCTTGTGATAAGACTTTACATTTAATGTGTTTATTGATTTTGTTAGGTTTGGGTCTTTCATCTTGCTGTTGGTAGTCTGTTGGTCCCATTTAGTCTTTGGGAGAATGGAAGTTTCCTGCTTTTCTGCCTTCTTTTGGATTGAGTGTTTTTAAATGAATCCATTTTTATCACATTTGTTGGCTTATTAGCTATAGCTCTTTGTTTTGTTATTTTAGGGTTTATAGTATACATCTTTAAATTATTACATGGTGCATTCAAATGATATTGTACTGTTTCATGTGTAGTATAAGAACTTAACAAAAGTATACTTCCATTTCCTTTATGCTATTGTTGTTGTGCATTTTACTTTTACATATTACTATAAACTTGTAATAAGTTGTTATTATTTTTGTTTAAATAGTTAATTATCTCTTAAAGAGAAGTAAAAAGTAGAGAAAAAAATCTTATATATTTACATTTCTGGTGCTCTTCATTCCTTTATGTAGATCCATATTTTTATCTGTATAATTTTCCTCCGCCTGAAGGACTTTTAATATTTCTTGCAGTGTGGGTCTTCTGGTGATTAAATATTTCAGCTTTTGTATGTCTGAAAACATTTTTATTTTGCCTTGATTTTCAAAAGATACTTTTGCTATGTGCAGAATTCTAGGTTAACAGCTTTTTGCTTTCAGTACTTTAAAGATGTTACCCCTTGTCTTAGTACTTTTATTGTTTCTGATGAGAAAT